AATTCCAATAGGGATCACCATCTTTGCTTCTAAAAGTTTGACCATTTCCATATAATTAACCATCAAAGAACCATTCAATTCCAATAGGGATCACCTTGTTTGAGCTCCAAATGTCAAAAGTACCAAAATGTCTCAGGTTCAAATTCAAGGAGAATAAAAATCCCCTTGTGGCCACGGAGGTTTAAATACGGTGACTTTGGACTATCTGCAAAATAGGTGGTCGTCATGAGATTAGTCGATTCGCATAGCGGATAAGATATTCAGGTTAATAAAAAAAATTCAAAAAGTAATCATAAATTTGTAATTTTTAAATTGGATACAACTTTATACAAAGGGAATTTAAAGTTGGCAGCCACATATTTGAAATTCAATTTTTCATATTCTTAAAACAATGGCACATATGATATATATAAAATTATAGTTCGGTTGGTTAATTAAATAGGACCCACAATTAGATTCTAAACTAATGTCGTCATCTTCCTGGGCTTGCCGGCCACCAGAGTAGGGATGCTCTGTTCATTCCGAAAGAAGTTGTCAGGATCAACGGCCGTCTTCACCTTCACCAATCTCATGAAGTTCCCCATGAAATACTTCTCCCCATAAACCTTGCCGGAGTTGTAGCCATTCCTACCGCTTCCGGTCATCACTCCGATGTCCAGATCTCTGTAGTTCAAGAATGCACCTCTTGGATTCTTCGACACATAATTCGTCATAAAGTTGTACAAAACCCTACTCTGATTCATGTACTCCTTCTCCAGTTTCTTATCACCATCATTCCAGTTCACCGAGTACTGAATTTTGAACAGGTTTCCGGCACGGTGAGGAAATGGAGTTGCGTACGCCGGAACTTCATTCATCCTCCCGCCGTAAGAGTTGAAAACCAAACCAATTTTACCCAATTCAACCAACTTGTTGAATATCGACGTCAACCCAGATTTTGGAATCGGAGTTTGAACGTAATCGGACTTTCGTTTCAAAAAGTTGACATTGTCCGAGTGGCGGTCGAGGAGGATCTTCACCGCCGTCGTGTTGTAGTCGAAGTTAGCCCAGTAAAGCACCGATTGAATCCAGCTTACTTCCATACAATCCTCCTTTTTTAAACCCAATTCCGGAAAGTTCTTGTTCATTAGGGTCAGTAGTCTGTCGGAATCACCCAAGAAATGTGCTATAAATGAAACCCGAACGGTTTTACTGTTTTTCACCGTCACCGGCTGTAACAGAAGTCTGATAAACAAATCATTGTCCATGGCTGGCACGACCGACTGCCATTTATAAACGAGGTCCGTCGCGTTTTCTGCCACCGTTTTCATTATCCGGAATACAGTATTAACCTCCGGCACCAGAACTAATTTCACGGTGTAGGATAATATAACACCGAAACTGCCGCCACCGCCGCCACGTATAGCCCAAAAAAGATCTTCACCCATGGATTTCCGATCCAAAATATGGCCATTAACGTTAACAATCCGAGCATCAATCACGTGGTCAACTGATAACCCGTATTTGCGAAGCATGGTACCATAACCACCACCGCTTAGATGTCCACCAACTCCAACAGTTGGACACACGCCGGCGGGAAACCCATGCACCTTGCTCTTTTCCCAAATCCGATAATACAGTTCACCCAATAAAGCTCCAGCTTGAACAACCGCAGTTTCGTCGGCGATATTAACATTAACCGTTCGGAAATTAAACATGTCAAGTACTATGAAATTCTTTTCCGATGAAACATACGAGATCCCTTCATAGTCATGTCCGCCACTGCGAATCTTGATCTGGACCTTGAGTTTTCTAGCGCAGACGACGGCGGCTTGAACATGGGATTCTTTGATCGGAGTAATGATGATGGTGGGTTTGGGTGTGGAAGTGGTGTTGTAACGGCGGTTTTTGATGTAAGTTTGTAGGACGGTGGTGTAGGAGGAGGAGTTGAGGGCGGAGCTGTAAACAATGGCGGAGAATGTGGGGTCCGGCGGAGTTGATTGTGCGGGGAGGCATTGGAGAAAGGATTCGTATAATGAAGCTCCATTTGAGATGGAAAAACAAGAAGAAATGAAGAAGAAAATTAGTGAAAAAAACATAATTAAAGACATTGATGACATGATTTCGTTGTGTTTTACGAGGTGATGATCACAGTATTTATAGTAGTGAATGGAATCGAAGTCAAACATTTTAGAAAACAAAGACTGTGAATTCGAACAGTTTATTTTAATTTGTGGATTATATGGTATTAATTATGATATTAAATATTAAATGCATTTATTACTGCAATAAGTTTTTAATGGAATGGACATATATTGTGTAAAAAGATGTATAATCTTGTTTTTTTTTTTTGGTTGAGGATCGAACAAGTAAATAGAAAAACAATTAATGACACAATTATTTTTTCAAAATAAATTTTGTAAATTTCTATAAATCGTAGAGCATCTTTAAATTCTAATTCATTATCTAAAATAAAGAAAATTGAAGGTTTTATTCTTTATTTTACTTCGATGTATTCTTGAGATTGTTACTAAATGATTGTTTGGCAATTGCTGAATGGATTGGTGTAAAATGATTAAGTGGTCAAAATGATTAGAAGTCTCTCATGATACACTGCAAAATGAAATATAATTGTTTACAACGAAATTAAAACGCTAAATGGTTAAGGGATGCTCAGAGTACAAAATCATTCAGAAGATTTTAGAACTATTAATAAATAGATTTTTTTTTTTACCAAAAAAGATTCACCTTTTAAAGATTCAGAAACTGCCTCTTAATAATACTATTAAGAGGTAAATAAATAATCTATAAATTAGAGAAAACAATAAAAAACTTAAAGTTTTAGAGAATTATTTAAAATTTGATAGATGAAGAGAGAAATGTTTTTTTTTAATTCTTACAATTAACTAAATTATTATTATTTTATACAAT